GGGATGCGGGTAATCGCGGTACGAATCGAGGGGGGTACTTTAGGCGGGTAATCCTCCGGTGGTCGTTGCGCTGGAACCCCCATCCCCTATACTACTTATTCGGTAACGCTACAGCGAAGCATTGAAGCATAAAAGAAACTCCTTACAATCGAGCAACATCTTTGGGAGAAATGATGATAAACTTCAGGTCTGTCACGCGACGAAACTGACATCTTGCGACGACGTTGATCAAGGATGCACTTGCACAGGTGCAAGCCATGGAGTCACATGCTTCGCAGGCAGTCCAATTAAAAYCTCCAACTTTTGAAGAAAAAACTAAAAGAACTGTTGCTGCAGCAATCAAAACCTGGACATAGTTTCAAAATAATAAAATCTTTATGAATATCATAATCATAATTATTTTTCATGGTCGCTATGAACTTTCTACCATGATATAACATCGGAAAAAAAACCCTTTGGATGCATTAACCCTAAGGAAAGACTGATTTCAATCTTTAAACCATCTCATTAATAAAACTAAGGGAGGAACGAACGAAAGAACGAACGAACAAGCAAACGAAGAAACGAAGGAATGAAGGAATATAGCAAAATCCAAATTCAGTTTGTACATGTTATTGAACAATATCATTATGAGGAACACTATTGTGGACTTTTTTCGTAGTACTGAAATGATTCTTTTATATGGTGCATAATAAAGTACGTTAACTTCACAATATAATAAATAAAAATGTAAAATATTACCTTGAAAAAAGAAGCCATCGGTAATTTGTTGTTTTGCCGAGTCCAACTCAACTTCCCCAACAACACCGTTCTCCATGAGATAATTCTTTCACTTGTGCGAGGCACAAGGTCATCGAAGCTTTATTCTAAAATGCAATTGGCTCAAAAGTCTATGAATCTTGAATTTGTCGTTAAAAATACCTTTTCTCTTTACGTATACTTTGACAGCTTTATTCAGTGCTATGGATCACATGCAAATCTTTTAATGAAATCTGTATTTCTCTTTTATTGTTAGATAGAAAATGATTGATATGATATTACAATTTACTTACTTGTTAACTTTTTTAATAACAATTCTCTGCGGGAGGAAAGTAAAATTATACTTAAAAGAGCTTGAAGCTGAATGACTAGGTCCTCTTTTCGACTTTACCTACATGAAAAAAAGAAATTTGTGAGTTGAGAACCAACGGGGTCACTTCACTGATAGCCAGATCAGTTGTATAACTATATTCAATAAAATTAATATTGATTTAAAAAGACTAACAGCTGCATTTCTTTAAACAAATATCGAGCAAGTAAATAAACAGCTGCCCTTTTAACTGAAAGATTTTATGTCATCGTTCCAAGTTAGATTTTCATTAATGTACAAGCCAAGCAATTTTGTTGTTTGTATACGTTCCAACTGTTTATTATTCACCATAAGGTTGGTCTTGTATGAAGCCATGGAGTATCTTTTCGACAACTGTTGGGTTGAAAAGATCATGCACTTCGTCTTGTCCGCATTAAGAGCTAGGTTCGAATCACTAGACCACTCTGTAAGTTGATTTAAGGTAGCGTTCATTTCTGCTTCACATTGTTGTAGATCATCATACTTACAGTGTTTATAGACAGTGGTATCATCTGCATATTGATAACAAGTTGTTCGGTGATCAAAGTTATCCTGAAGGTCCGCTAAAAATTGAATATCATGGGCCAAGTATCGAACCTTGCGGAATGCCAAATTCCATGGTAACTTTTGTTGACGTTCCATCATCGACTTGAACAAACTGTGTTCGATTTGTCAAATAATTGAGAACCCACTTCAGGAAGTTCTTGGAGAAATCTAAGTTATGCATTTTTTGGATAACTGATTTAAAGCAAACTGTATCGAAAGCCTTGGAAAAGTCTGCCAACACCATTAAGTTCATTTCACGTTTCTTCATTGCATTAATAATGTCATTCTTTATTCTTGATAACGTCGTGGCGGTAGATTGACCTTTACGGTTACTTTGTAGTTTAGTATATCATGTTGTTCGATGTACTCTACCATCTGGAGGGCAACCACTTCTTCGAAGACTTTTGATAGGGCTGGTAGGATTGAAATAGGCCTCAGCTGGTAATTGGATACTGGATTTTCCCCTTTAGGAATTGGTGATAGCCGTGCAATTTTCCATTCTTTAGGAAAATAGGAATTCTGGATACATTTATTTATAATGCTCGTGAGGGGAACAGCTATGTAGTCGCTTACCATATTCGCATACTTGATGGGTATTTGGTCATCTCCAGTAGAACAATCGTCACGGAGTGTTTTTATAATGCGAGTAACTTTCTTTATTGTTACCTGCCTAAGTTTAAAGAGCTTATGGTTATTATCCCTTTCAGGCAGGCTATCTATCATGTCCATAAGTTCGTCTGTGGGCGTGGCACGGGAAGCAGTAGTTCTGCGAGCTGTTGTTACGAAGTATTCATTAAGGCTTTCCAAGTTTAGTTGTAAAGGATTGGGGTTTTGTTTTAGAATACGATGAATGATTTTCCAAATGTCACGTGGTTTATTTGAGGATAATGCTTTTTCCATAAATGCCTTACGAGCAGATCGTATTTCTAATTTTAGCTTATTTCTGACGGATCTGTAGGAATACCATGATTCTGCTGAATTTGTTAAACGTGCTTCATCCCGCAGCTTATCCCTTTGTAGTTTTAGATCTTCGATACTGGGCGTTTTATACAATATAGTAATATAGAAGATTTAAATGGACCGTTGCTGAAACGCATATTGAGCTTGTCCTGGAATACTCCATTTTACAGTTTCCATTCAGTGACCACAAATAATAGTTCCAAGTCAAGGCTGGAGTTTTCGCGCATAGCAAAACTGTACTTTTTATCATACGCAGAAACTCCAACCTCGACTTGGAACTATTAATTATTCGTGGTCACTGAAAGGAACTGTAAAATGGAGTATTCATTGTCTGGAATGGTATTCACGCTAGCTAGCCAAGGAGCATGTGTACTCCTGTCAGAATTTTGTGCTGAAAGCAAGCCACTAATCTAGAAGTGTAAAGGGGACCTTAAGGAACGTGAACAAAATTTGTGGAAACTTTGTTTTAGGGAGGGCTGAAAAACTGTAGTCCCGTAGTATCCCAGCATGGAAACGAGGCTACATCTTAAAATCAACTTTATTCCGATTGTATTTCAACGTATTGCCATAAAATGAAGTCAAGATGCATGAATAGCTATTTATAAACTTTCCATGCACTTTAAGGAGGAGAGTTTGATCACGTGACTTCTAGCATGGAAACGAGGCTTTTAATAAAAATGACCAAAAAAATCTCTTGTTTCTTTCTATTATTTAAACTCATATTAGTAATTAATGTTCATTGCATTTGCATTTTAAATTTTTGAACTTGATCGGAAAAACTTTGATTTTCCCATGAAAGGCAAATTTCATAATTCATTTTAACTAGCTTTCAAAAACGATTTTTTGAAAGGTTTCTTTTGCCAAGTTATCATCATAACTTGTTTCTTTTTAAATAAGGACCAGAGGTTGATCAAGGGGTGTGTCATGGGAGTTCCTTTTCCAGAGAAGCTACCTTGTTTCCAAAGAAGCTACCTGCTTTCAATGCCTTGAGTGGTATTATCAGCAACCAAAACCAATAGAGAAAACAAAGATCTGTCCTTCTGTAATTATACTATACCGCGATCCGCGAAACTAGAAAACAATCTACGGGATTCGAGACATTGGCATCGGCCGTGACCCGGGTATTGCCAAATTCAATGTACTGGATGTGGTATTTTGCCTAGTATTGTTTTTGATTTTTTTATTTTCGCGGGACGCGGGATTTAGGGATCCGGACCCCTCCTTCCAGACCCTGAGAAATTGTGTCAAGTAACTGATGAAGGAAGACCCTTGCACTGCGAAGTCCAGACTATATACTGCAAGCGAAGAAAAACTTAATGTAATAAAATTAGGAAAGACTTGTTACATCCAAGAAAAGATATCAAAATAAGTCCACTAACGTAAAGAGTTAATTTGAAGATTAATTGAAAATTCTAATACTACATAAATGTCGTTTCAGGTGTCATAAAAATGAATCCCTTTTTTTAAGTGGATGAGTGGATGAGTGAGTGAGTGAGTGAGTGAGTGAGTGAATGGATGAGTGAGTGAGTGAGTGAGTGAATGAATGAATGAATAAATAAATGAATAAATAAATGAATATAAATAAATAGTTTATTCAAACCTATTGCAGTCTTAACAACTGAATTACAGGTTGAGTGCGCTAGACACTAATACAAATACGTATAATAATAATGATTTATCCAGGCTTAAATTTAATCGTTACGAGTTTGCCAAATCTATCAGTCCTAGTGGGGAGAAGAAGATGCTGACTACCAGATCTAAGCGAGTAATGGGCAGGTATATCTATCAATCTGCTGTTTATTAGGGGGTACAAGGGATGATCAGGCACATTGTTCGCAATGAAAGCAAGAGGACAAAGGTCTGCCCTAGTAAGTGCCACTTAATAACAACCACTAGGCCAGATTACAGACAGCGCCCTTCGCTGGGCATTTTCCAGGGCTGCAGAAAGGTACTGCGGTTTCCTTGGGCGGTTTTGAGTCATGTACGTATGAAACGTGGCGGCAACGGATTCCAAGAATCTGATTGGTTACTACATTTATTATGTTTCACTTCTGAGAACTGAAATCGTTTGAATTACATAAACATGGAAAAGTGCATATAAGCGCATTCTTTGACCGCTGGGGGTCTTAGAGTCGTGTTTGATGCGTGACTATTACGGATTCCAAGAAACTGCCTAAAAGTTAGTCATCATTTTAGATTTCTGAGTAAATTGATTCTTCGAATTCGTTACACCTCTTCGATCAATGATTACCATAAGGTCACATAATGGTTTGCAGCATGAGGTTCTTGGAATCAAAGCAAATCCATAAAATAAAATCATTCAATATTACCTTACCAGAGAAGATTCAAGATGGCACCAAGTCAAAAACGCAAGTTTGAAGTATTAATGTACGAGTCAGAATACAGACAGATACAAGCTTGGGTTGATAAATATCAACACCTTGAGACTGGTGGTGATCTGTTTGGTTTATGGAAAGACGATCGCACTGCAGTGGTGCAGTTCGTACTTGGACCTGGAAAACATTGTAGACGAACTGAAGTATCTTTCTATCAAGATATAGACTATCTTGAGCGAGTGGGAAACCTATTGACGAAMAAGGAAGGTTTGTGTCATATTGGTGAATGGCACTCTCATCACAGAATCGGTTTAACGAGGCCAAGTAGAGGAGACGAGAATACAGTCTGGAACAACATGGATAGATATGGTATCCACCGATTTTTCCTGTTCATTACCACCATTGAAGGCTCTAATTTATGTAATAAAAGAAAAGCCAACAGTTCGTTTCCTTATGATGTGAAGGTTCGTTGCTTCCTCTTTGAAGTTGATTCAGCAAGCGAGAAAACAAAAGCAGTTCTGGAAGGCAAAATCAATTTTATCTCAGATGAGGTTCGAGAGAGTCCTTTCCGACTAAAAACAGAGCTAGCGAACGTTTTTGAAATCGGAGCTGAAAGTAAAAACTCATTGGAAGATATGAAAACCTTTGAAATAAGAGGAAGAGAGTCAGAAGAAACAACGAGAAACAAGAACGAAAAAAAATCAAACAAAGAAACGAATACTAGCTGTACTGCCCCTCAAAGAACCAACGAGACAACATCTAATAAAGATGTACAAGAATACAAGAAGACATTTAGAAGTACACGTTATATCGTACTCTCATCAAATCAAATAACCACTGTACTTTGTGGGTATACATGGGGTCTAATCGTTTTTGTAGTGGGGGTGCCACGTAGTCAGTGCAGTTAGAGGAAGAACAAAGAGGAAACAGCAATCCAAAAAGAAAAAAAGAAAAGCAAGTGGCATAGACCTAATTCGTATTGGTGCAACTGTTTCTTATATTACTACAGATCACTGGTGGTCATTCCCAAGAATATCGTGTCTTTGTTTAAGGGCTACATGAGGACACACATATCAATTTTAGATACAACAGACTCAAACAAGGAATGAGGAAATGACACTTGATGTGAAATGGGTAAACATTGCGCCAAGACAAATTAGGTCTGTTTATCATTCAAGCACACCCTCAAAGTGATTAAAAAAAATTGAAATTACAATAGACCTAATTTGTCGTGTGCAATGGTGTCCATTACAGACCTGTAGTAAAATTGTGCTGTGTAATCCACACAAGTGAGGTATCAGCGCACTTGTGCTCTTGTGCTCCAAAAAAAAAAAAACAGATTTGTAGATTAAACCGGCCAAGGAACATTTTTAGTCATACTATATATATTATCAATGCTGACACTGTAAACTGTGATTTTATTTTGCCAAAAAGTTGTATTAAACCTTTATTAAATGGATCTTTGAGTTGAAAATTACCTAGACTGCAGCTGTTATATAATTATATTTATATTCATTTTATTTGCAGAATTTTTGCAAAGCCGCTATATATAAACAATTGATTGCAAAAGTTTTACAAAAATACTAATACCTACTGAGATGCAAGATATTTAATAAGATGCAGAATGTAAAACATGATTAAATACAATTGCTTAACCACATTTTGTGGAAAATACTTTTAACTTGACTTCGTGCAATACTCTTGTCTTTGACACATTAGAAGATAAATGAGTTACTTTTGACGATTTGCATCTTATTAGATATTTCTCTAAATGTATACAACGACCATTCTGCTATCAAATGTATATAATAATATACACACCAATTCAACCCTCTAAAATTCTCATTCTCATTCTCATTCTCATTCTCATTCTCATTCT